ACACACACACACACACACACACACACACAAAGGTATACCGTACATTCGACCTCGTGATGAAGTACTCCAACAAGCACAAACAGCGACCTTCACTTTACTGTCCCTTGTCCACTTCCTGACATAAGAGTTGACTGGATAAAGTCTAAAGGGCTGGGTTTTTTTAGAAATATATAAATGTAGGCATTTTTACGTCTCATACATACAAATTTAGGACATTTAGGAGGCAGTCTGTCATAATTAACCCGCGCTGCGTGGGATACAACATCCTAGCAGAAATACCGAGATACTCGATAAAAACATCTCCCCACTTGGAAATCGAAGCCGGGTCTTCTGCGTGCGCAACCGAGTGCCGTACCGCTACACCACAGACGCCATATAATTGGCTGATATTTAAGTCAAAGACAGAGGTTTGATTACCGCACATTTTTGGGGTAGCTTCCGAGCTAGGCAGAACATTTTTCCCTCCCCCAAAAGCAGCCACATGACATAACTGAACTTAATCCGAAGAGTAATAAAACTACTCATTAGTTCGTTACTTGCACTCACATATGTCCAACAGTGTTTTTTTTATTACCGCTGGTGGTAAGAGAACTCCACTGGTAGGTCCTGTTTCCGCTCTCTCGTTCTGTTGTTTCTGTCTGTCTGTCTGTCTGTTTGTCTGTTTGTCTGTCTGTCAAAAAGCCTATATGTCTGTCTGTCTTTTTGTCTGTCTGTCTGCCTGCCTTACTTTTCCTTATACTAAATGACTTGTAATGTGGAGATGTGCGCCTCTTTGATCAAAACAAACAAATAATCTTGGTGTATTTTGGGTTGTTGTGAGAATCTGGTATATGCGATTCTCAGGATCCAGTGAACACATTTCACGGATTCGAAATTCTTCGATCAGTACCTCTATTGACATAAAGTTTTAAAGTTTCAAATGAACATTTCATGTTTTGAATACCCGAGGTTTCTTAAGCGATTTCCAAGCTTTAAAATGGCAAGAAAAAACGCTTTGTTTCAGTCTTAAACAAAATTCCCTCTTCCCTCTTCTATTACACTTTTATATTGCTTTAATAGTACTGGAAAGAAAAATGTCATGAGAAAAAACAGTGATGACGAGTAAAAAACCCAGTAAAGATCATGAAATAGTTTTTATTGTCTTTGTAAATAGCCAACCCTCATTTCCTTTTAAGTACTCCAAATACCTCACTATTCAATTTTAACTTTCTGACCTTTGGGGTGTAGTAAAACCTCCATGAATCAATCCTTGTTGAAGGATATGGATACAATATTTCAACCCGTATACAGTACCATAAAGCATTTAACTCTATGAAATATGCTACTCGAAAAACTTTTGTTTGATAGGCAGATTGGGAAATCAATTTAATTTCACTTCTGAAATTAGTTCTCTTTAGGTATCCAGCAAGTCACAGAACTTTATATATTTTCCATCTCGTCAGAAATGTCTCCTGTCGGCCCTGTGTTCCTTTAAGGGCCCAAATTGTCTGTCATATTCAATTCTGGTAATGCGTCTAGATTGGCAATTAAACTTTGGGAAAAACTGGAAATATGAAATGTCAAACTGGTATCGGTGAAACAGTAATAGTATTATAGTTATAGCGACTGCTAAAGTCTCTCTGTCTCTGTGTGTGAGTGTGTGTGAGTGTGAGTGTGTGTGTGTGTGTGTGTGTGTGTGTGTGTATGTGTGTGTGTGTGTGTGTGTGTATGTGTCTATCTCTCTTTTTCCCTCTCTCTGTCTCTCTGTCTCTGTCTCTCTGTCTCTGCACAAACGCAGAGAGAGGGAGAATGAGAGAGATAAAGAGGGACAC